TAGTCGAATAAACTCGTTATTTTTGTTTGTTTTTTCGCACAAAAAGTATTCGCGTCGCTTGATAAGCTCTCAAATTTAATCAAAAATATCTTCATTTGTGTTCCGAAGACGAACGAAGGTCTTACGGGGTTGGTACAGCATGGGGGTGAGTAATTAATGACTTAATTTTCATTTTTGGGTGAACTAACCCTTTAATTGTTTATCCGCCGTCAACGGTGGCCCCAAAGATATCCATAATAAAGGCTAGATGTCTTCTCCGCACTGCTGGCCAATTGAGGTCGACGTCCGCACCTGGTGGCCATCTTGTCACTGGCAGCTCGCTCACTCAAAACATTGTGTTTTAATGGTAAATTTTCTACTGATTTTCAAAAGGTTTGGTTTTTTATGAAGGTCAGAGATGTAGTTATGACACTTATACTTGTGAATAAAAAGTGTATAAATAAATAATCATCCAAAATTATAGCCACATTATTAACGTTTGTAAGAAAACAAACTGTTTGTAAATCTGTCGAGATTGCAACAAATTAAGAGTATTTGTGTTCATCCTTCAAAGGCCGCAGACTGCGAAGGATGCAACCTATTCGTCCTTCGAAGGACGCACCATGTAGCCTTCGTTTGATTTCCTAATTGCGCAACCAGGTGTTCCCTATTTCCACTCCTGGTGCCAAGCAACGGTGGGAGAGTACAGTTGCCACTTGCCATCCTGATCATTCATTTGATATAATTGAGTAAACAGCTATGGAGACAGAATTGGCTATTGCCATTTTTTTGTTTTGTTTTATATTTTACTGGAGGACATGGGGAGGATGTTTCAGCCCCGGTGCCGCTGAGTCATATATTAGGCTTAGCCAGAGCCTGTCTAACGGAGAGCCTTGGCACTTCCTATTAGCCCCGTTGTGTATCATCTTGGTTGCAGTCCCATTAGAATTCCACTGGAGGTGATCGCGGGCGAGAGCAGAATGAATGGGAGTCTATGGGGCTAAACGGCTAAATGTGTCTCTTTCACCTGCTTGTCGTTAAATTAACATTGATTTTATTGTTGATTCCTCAAGTTCATATAGATTATAGGCTAAAAGTCGAATGAACGAGTACTTATGTCCTTTTGATTTCTTACAGGTTAGGCCGTTGTTGGCCGGAACACGCTAGCATTCTGCTATTGTGTGACGTCATCACATTTTTGAACGGATTTTTAGAACGGATAAGGGAACTTAAAAATGCAATTTTCAGCTGAGTGCATTAGCTTAGCCCTCCCTTTTGAATGCAACTTTCAAATTACTTGACAAAAAATTACATCCTGAGAAAAGTGGATTTCTGGGGGTGAAACCCCATTGACTCCCATTCATTCTGCACTCGACCGCGAGCGCCCCCGCATGGACAGAGACGTGTTACTGCAGCCAGTCCAGAACCCGGAAGTAACCACTGCCAATTCTCTTCAATTAGACATTCTCTGGCTTAGCCAAGACCATGGCCAGAGCTGGTTTACTGCGTCCCAATTCAGAGGCTGCGTCCTGAATGGCCGGAATACACTTTAAACTGTTCAAGTATTGGGTGTTAACTTGTGTAAATAATGTAATGAAATATGAAAAGAAAAGAAAACATACATAAGCACATATGTATGTTAAAATATAAATATATATATATATATATATATATATATATATATATAGATGCGATTTTGTAGGCTAGTCATATATTATTTTTATTATGTACAGAAATGGACAAGGGTGAACATATTTACACAGGTTTTCAACCCTATTTGAATATAAAACCCAGTTGAATATAATAAAAAGTCTAGTGCAAACCTTACTCCCGCTCGTCATCGGCAGCTGTCAGTCACAGTTGCTAGGCAACAAGAACAATTCTCTGTAGGCTAGACTGGTCCGAGCGCTTCAAATGCGCACTTTGATATGGGACGCAGCTGTAGTTAGCAACAATTGATTAATATTGTTATATTTGTTAATAAACAGACCTACATTTTGTTACTTTAATTTTCAAAATAACCAGCGGTGAAATGTAAGGAAATTCGTACATCGTTAATTAGATACTTCGTTCACGTACAAATGTGAAGTAACTTTTTCCCTCACAGGACAGCAACACTACGCATTGTTTTACATTAAACTACACAAAAGTATATAGTTTAAATGTATCGACCTTGCAAACACTCAGAGACCATTATAAAACTAAACAATGTCCAGAGCCATGAATTCTCTTTTATTTACACATTTAAAGTTGCATATAATAAAGAAATAATGTACGGAATTTTTTTTTTATTTAAAAAAAAAATAAGTGAAAAAAAAAAAAAGTTAAACAAGAATATATTAGAGGAGAAAACAGCTTGTCCATCCTCTTCCTACTCTCCTCGCCTCGGCAGTCTCATGTCTTCTCTAATCAAGTCCAAAAACTCGTCTTCTCTGTCTCGCCTTCTCTGGTGCTGATGCTCCTGCTGGTGCTGCTGGGTCGTCCTCTTCTTGGACACACACTCCTGAACTCAGCCCTGGTGTCTCCTCAGGGATGGAGGCAATGAGGACAGGGCGGTTGGTGGAGTGGGTCTGTTCCAACACCTCATCCATGAGGAGTTTCAGCAGTGGGTTTCACACTCACACACCTGTCCCAGGACACTTGCAGTCCTAAGGCAGAGCAAATAAAGCATGTCGGTTAACAACAACAACAACAATGACACAATGCATTGAAACAAAGATCTCTCAAACTTTCTTACTATATATATATATATATATATATATATTATAGTCACCTTCTCCAGCAGGTCCATTTTCTCCAGAATTCTCCTAAAACAAAAGGGAACCACTTCAAAAATATTAAGACAGGAAAATAATATGACATTTTGACAGCACTACATACAAGTGAAACCCCATTGCCATTTATATTTTTTTATAGTAGGCTGCACAAGTGAGACAGACTAGTGCAAATATTACAAATAGGTTATTGTCTTACACTGGCCATTTTCAGACCGCAATTGAGGAAATTGAACTATCTCCTTGTTCCCTGAAACAATTATTAAACTAATATGAGCACAAGTTTTGCCTCAAACCACATGACAAATGAAGCCACACAATGGTGACGAATGAGTTCTAGCTATGTGAGTAAATTAAAACATAATACTTGCATTTAAATGTGAATTTGCTGTCCACCACCAAACTCTTGGCCGCCCTTCTTTTTAAATAAAAATGCTGTTGTCACCAGCGCAATGACTTATAGGGTAAGATAGGCCGCTTAGGATCCATTTATGTATCCTTTTTTTTATGGTGTAATGCATGTGGCATCGCTTTTGAATCAGGGAAGCCTTCGCCGCGTCACGGTGATGCAACCTGCCTTCGAATATGGCCTTTGAAGGATGCAGAATTGAATTGGGACAGCCTTCATCGCGCCGGTGTGATGCAATCGGCCTTCAAAAATGGCCTTCGTAGGATGCAGCCTTCACATTGGGGCACAACTAGAGACTCCGCCGTAAGACATCTAGCCTTTATTATGGATATCTATAGGTGGCCCTGCTTACGAGCTTGCGTGTTCACAGCAGGCTCCGCTGTTGAGGGAGGTATGTAGCGCAGCAGAAAGAAGGGGGTGGGACCTGTAAGTTGTGCTTGTTCAAATTTTCAGGCTAAGTCATTGTTTTCTCAAAACTCCCTACTGCAGCTTTAAAGGGTTAGTTCACCCAAAAATGACAATTATGTCATTAATGACTCACCCTCATGTCGCTCCAAACCTCCGTTCATCTTCGGAACACAGTTTAAGATGTTTTAGATTTAGTCCGAGAGCTTTCTGTACCTCCATTGAAAATGTATGTACGGTATACTGTCCATGTCCAGAAAGGAAATAAAACATCATCAAAGTAGTCCATGTGATATCAGTGTGTTAGAATTTTTTGAAGCATTGAAAATGCATTTTGGTCCAAAAATAACTAAAACTACGACTTTATTCAGCATTGTATTCTCTTCCGGTTCTATTGTTAATCCGCGTTAAGTGCTGACGTAAGACGCTGCTGACGTGTTATCTGGTGTGCCTTAGCTTCGTTTATGTCTAAGGATTTCGACACAGAGAAAGACTTATTTTTTTTTACCCAGCCATATTTATTTGAACCCAAATACACGGACACACCAGAACACGTCAGCAGTGTCTTACTTCATCAGCTTCACTCGGACTCGTGAACGTGAAGTACGAAATGCAATTATAATTCTTTCGATTTTCAGAAGTTGTGAATGGTACCAAAATACTGTACCTTACTACTTTGTTTGAGATCTTTCTGTTGGGGTACCTAGCACAGTAGTACGGTACCTAAAGGGTGGAGCTAGACTCATTGCAGAACGATGATTGGTTGACAGAGAATCGTCACTTGCGCATACTACTAGGGGATTGACAACAAAATAGGCGTAATTTATATATATACTGTTGAAACAATACCATTGCAACATAATGTTATTTTTTTACGAGAAGCAAGAACGGGATCTTCTTCAACATCTAACACTTGATCAGGGTTTATCGTCCCGAACAGTACTTTAGTATTCGGTGGAAACAAGCCATAAATGTCTTAACTGTCACTTTCAATAAATTAAATGTATCCTTGCTTAATAAAAGTGTTAATTAATACTAGTGACCCCAAACTTTTGAACAGTAATACATTTTTACAAAAATAAAATGTGTAACAAGCTAGATATTGGATATTATACAGGCATAAACTAACTTTCAGTGGCATCACAGCACTAGCTTGAAAGGGCAAGTAACAGTTCCGTCAACTGAACCGAAACTCACACCCTTATTGTTGAGTCCTGTAAAGATTAGACCATAAAATAGGAGCTCCAGGATCTCCACCTAAGTAGTAATTCAGGATTAAGAGATATCTGATCTGACCTTAACCCTCTAAATGGTGCGGGTAAGGCCAGGTTTAAAGCATTAACCATTTAACGTCACATTGCTATAAGGTATTGCCTGAGAGTACCAGCTTAATTCTGTAACCAGATCCTTCTCTCTTCTTTTTCGATCTGCAGAAATGGGGTGAATGTGGAAGGGGCCACTCATAAGCAGGTGGTAGATCTCATCCGAGCAGGAGAGAAAGAGTTGGTCTTGGCCATTCTGTCGGTTCCTCAGCCAGAGACGGACAGTCTTGATCCTGGGGACGATGGCTCTTCGCAGTCCTGCTATGACTACAGTGACAAGCAGGCCGTGCCCATCTCAGTGCCCACCTACAAACATGTGGAACAGAACGGGGAGAAGTTTGTTGTGAGTGTTTTATCCTCCGTCCCTGCTTACGCATGACTGGTATTTTTTCCCCTGATGATTTATTTTCACCGTATTATTTTTAAAAGGATTGTTTGTGTGTGTCAGGTATACAACGTGTACATGGCAGGCAGGCAGTTGTGCTCCAAGCGCTATCGAGAGTTTGCCATCTTGCATCAGAATCTGAAGAGGGAATTTGCTAACTTTGCATTTCCCAAGCTGCCAGGGAAATGGCCTTTCTCCCTGTCTGAGCAACAGCTAGATGCTCGCAGACGAGGGCTGGAGGAATACTTGGAGAAAGGTAATAGGGAACGAGACAGGAAGGAGACGTGAGATGAAAATCTAGAAAATAACTGTTTACAGATGTTGCTAACATTCTTTCTCTGTGTTTCTCTGCCGTTCCCTCTTCATCTCACCAGTATGTTCTGTTCGGGTAATCGGGGAGAGCGATGTCATGCAGGAGTTTCTGTCGGAGTCTGATGAGGTAAGGCATTGTCTATATTAGGCCTGGCATGGTACCAGATCACAGTAATGATATTATTGCAATAGACTTTGTAACTTTAAAGGTCCCATGACATGGGGTTATTTTATTATTTTGTAATGTTTCCTGGATTGCCCTTATAATGTTAGTATGTTTTTTAGATCAAAATAGTCATAATTTAGAAATAAAAGGCATTTTTTCCTAGCCTGAATTTAGCCTCTGATTTGAACACTGTTTGAAGGGGGCGTACAACAACAGCGCCTTACAACAGCCAAAAGGTGCACAAGGTGCTTTCCAGTAAAACATCAATATATAAAAACCTAAGTGTACATAAGCCATTGAATCGAGATGGAAGCTACATGTTAAAACTTAGACAGGTGTTTATATAGGGGACAACACCTCCTGGTGTTGATGAATTGGATGTCAAACTATTAAAGATGGTTGCTGATGTGATAACTAAGCCTATATATTATATTATTAATTTAAGTTTAGAAAAATGTGTTTTTCCTGATAACTGGAAAAAAGCCAAAATTGTGCCTCTTCCAAAAAATAAAAAGGAAAATTTTTCTGGGAAAAATAGCAGACCTATAAGTATTCTACCAATTTTGAGTAAAATTACAGAGAAAATAGTTTATGATCAAATTAATTTGTATTTTTCTAAAAATAAATTGAATTCACCTTATCAACATGCTTATAAGAAAGGACACTCTACAACAACAGCCTTAGTTCAGATGACGGATGATTGGTTGCAAGAAATTGATGAAAGAAAATTAGTTGGTACTGTAATGTTAGATCTTAGTGCGGCATTTGATTTAATTGATCATGATCTATTATTAGATAAATTAAGGTGTTATGGATTTGAAAAAGTGTGCAATTCAGTGGATCCATAGTTATCTCACTGATAGGAAGTTTAATGTACTGTTTAATGGTAGTTATTCTGATACAAAGGTCTTGCGTTGTGGAGTGCCTCAAGGGAGCTGCCTTGGACCACTGTTGTTTTCTATTTTTATTAATGATTTGTCTTTTATTTTGAAGCGTGCCACTATTGCTCTGTATGCAGATGACTTAACTATTTTTTTGTCTGATTATGACTCTACCAGACTTAATACTGTATTAAATAATGAATTACAATTAATTGAAAAGTGGAATAGAGTAAATAAATTGAAGATTAATGTTGGGAAGAGTAAATGTATGATGTTGGGATCTAATCATCTTTTAAAAGATTCCCCCGTTTTGAATTTGTCAGTTGGTGGTTTGATAATTGAACAAGTGGCGGAGGCCAAATTGCTCGGTGTGATTGTGGACAGCAGGTTGACCTGGAACGCTCATATAAAACTAATATTGAATAAAATGGGCAGGAGTATGGCCGCAGTTCGTCATTGTAGAAAATGTATACCGTTTTGTATACGGAAAACTTTAGTGGAATCAATAGTTTTGTGTCATCTAGACTATTGTTCCATTATTTGGGCTTCAACTACAGAGAACAATTTAAACAAATTACAGATTGCACAAAATAAAGCATGTCGGCTTGTTCTAAATTGTTCTTTTAGAACAAGTGTAAGAGATATGCATAATCAGTTAGCATGGCTTCATGTAAGAAGTAGAATTAATTATTCTCTTATTAAATTCTTAAAAAATATAATTATTTCTAAAGCACCTGAAATTATTTATGGTAGATTGACCTTCTTCAGTGACGTTCATATTTATTCCACTCGTCAATCAAGTGAAGGGCGTTTCTTGTTACCTGTCTGTCGAACTAATCAACTTCAAAGGACATCGTGTTACAGAGCAGTGGTGGCATGGAACTCGCTCCCATTATTTTTGGTCTCAGAGAGTCACAATGTTAGTTTTTTCCAAAAGATTGAGACTGTATTTATTTACTTTGGAGTAATTGTAATTTTTATAATTAATAATGACTGGACAATGAGCTATAATAATTGAAATGTGAGTTTCATATTTTGTGTTGTACCCAGAGAGTGGTAATATTTTGCATATCTAAGAGCTTGTATTCTGATGTTACGTTTAGTGTGTGTGTGTGTGTGTGTGTGTGTGTGTGTGTGAGTTTGATGATTTATGATGTTGTGTGCACTTCTGTATCTGTCTTTATTGTTGTACAGCTTTGATGTTAAGTTTTTTGTTAAAATGTTGTGACCCCAGGAAGAATAGCTGCTGCTTAATGTAGCAGCTAATGGGGATCAAAATAATAAACATAAACATAAACAAGGAAGGGACCTATGATGTCACTAGCCTCCTTCAAAATCTTAGCGGGAACAGCATCTAGAATGCAGGTGGTAGGCTTCAACTCATGGACAGCTTTTTTAAGGTCCGCAAGAGAAACAACCTCATAGTTCTAAAGTACACATTGCACCACTCGGGTGGACAAGGCAACAGCAGGGGCTTGTGTGATGACAGACAAAACCTTGTCTATAAAGTATTCTTTGAATGCATTGCATGTATTTTCAGATACATCATTCAAAGCAGCAAATTCGAGATTTATAACAGAATTAATTGTGCTGAACAGGATTCCAGGATGGTGGCTGTTGCTATAGATGAGATTAGAAAGGTACTGTCCTTTAGCTTCCTTCACTGCTTTCTGATAGGTGGCAAGACTGTTTCTAAACATCTCCAGTGACACCTGCAGCCTATCTATCCTTCTTCCATTTTCGTTCAGCCTGTCTACATTGACGCCTGGCAACCCAGGTTGAATCATTAAGCCAGGGGTCTATAGGACCTTTGGTCATCTTTTGCTCGACGGGCGCAACGGAGTCCATAATCTGAGAGCAGATGGTATGGAAAGAGGAGAGTAAAAGGTCAGGACATAGAGGCGATGCCAGTCCAGCACCAGAGGCGAAATCGGAAACAGAGAAAGCAGCAACAAAGTCATCAACTGTAGATGAGGTAATGATGCGATGACGATGGACAGCACAGATGTCAAACCATATAAGAGAGTGGTCAGAGATCTAGACCTCACAAGTTGACACAGTCACACCCCGCGAGTCATGATAAGGCCAAGAGTATGACCTAACCTATGAGTGGGACAGGAAATGGACTGAGCCAGATCCAATGAGTCTAGTAGTCCCAAAGTCCAACATATTACATGTTAAACTCTCTCAAATACTTTAACTGCAACTATTATACATTTTTACAATTACAGCTATTGAGATTAACGAATCGTGAGAAGTTTTTAAAGTATTTCAATCTGTTCCCATCACATCACATTTTGCCGTGGTGAGCATTGAGCAAGCAGATGACAGTTTGTTGATCGCGAGTATGAAGATCTTATCATTGCAACGCAGTTTCTGCACTCTCTCTAATGCTTTCACAAATGCATTAAGAGGTTTGCTGTGCTGTGTAACATGTGTCATTGACTCATAACGAGTTGTCCATATAAACTCGTGCTGTGTGGAAAGATTGTTCTTTGATCGCTTTCTGTATATAATTTGTTCACAATTTAAATTAGATTATTTTCACCCTACTTAAAGAAACAATGTGAAGTTGATATTTTAGTCACTGGCTTGAATTACTGATGCATAAACAGTAATTGTTGTACAGTAAAACAGAAATTGTTGCTTGGTAGCTCGATCGTTTTATTTTAAGACGTTCATCGAAGCCAGCTCTGTATTGGCCCAAGTTAAGGAAACAGTCGTTGGTGAAACGTTTGGACCATTGTCGGGATGGTAATACAACTGTAGCCGCCTGGTGAATGAAAACCACCCTGGTTTGTTGTCAGATGGCTGCTGTGTACCATTACCCTGAGTTGTTATAAATTTGTTTGCCAATAGGCCTGGGAAGAGATGGAAAGACTTGAGTACCACCAGAAGATCCTTTAAACTTTAAAGGATCTTCTGGTGGTTTCTGGTGGTTTAAAGGATCTCTTAAAGTTTAAAGGGTTGGTTCACCCAAAAATAAAAAATTAAGTCATTAATTACTCACCCCCCAAAATACAATTATTTTGTTCAGTGAAAACTTTTCTTTGTACTTTTTGTCAGTTAAAAAAAAGGTTGAAAAAAGGTTGAGCTGGCCTCTGCGTTGTGCACAGACAGCTAAATGTAACAGTACTTGGACAAAGAGAAGACTGTAGTCCTGCAAAAACCTTCTTCATCTTGATGCATCTGCATAAAAACATAAGGACCATACTTAAAGCATTGCAATCTCATTGAACTCAACTATATTCAACTATAGACTCTTCAACTCAATTCCCTTTTCTGTTGCTGTTGTTTTCGAATTGAATGCAGTGTGTTTATTGAATCACAGTACTTTATCAGTCGATTATAAAGTGTTGCTTAAAGCAGTGGTTGTGTGAACCTTAAATAAAAACAGTCCCACCAGGATTTCACATTTATTTTTTTTATTTTTTTGGCTATCAATTTTGTGGTGGTAATTTCCATAAATGTGTGAAAAATTTGCGATTTGTTATAAAAATAATATATGATTAGGATATCACATTTGCCATATTTTGTTTAAATGCCCAATAGCATACATAGCAATACATCAAACAAAGGACAAATAAATTGCCTAAATCTTGTTTATTTTGGTCTCTTATATTCAAATTCTCAAATATTGATACATTTTAACTTTTAAAACCTATGTTTTTTAGTGTCATATTTAACCTATGATATTTAGTGTGGTGCATGTCCTTACCCAGTCTCCACAAATATGAACAAATATATATATATATATATATATATTAATTGTTTGGCAGTCATATAGCTAGCTAGACTAGTCTAATGATGTAGGCCTACTATCTATCTTTAATAATATAATCCATAGACCTTATTCAGAGCAGCGCCATGACGAGTATGAAAGTGAGGCTGTGAGGGATAGACTTACCGTGTTTCCAATGGCATCCGCTGTAAAAAGGTGAATAAAACTCCTAGATTACTTACAATTTTCCACAGCTTATATTGTCAGGAGATTTTTGTCAACTAAAATTTCTTGGAAAGATATTTTTCCAGTGTTTCATGAGCAGAACAAAACGAAACCACATTAAATAACAGTACAGCCCATTGAACAGATGTCTATCCCTCACAGCCTCGCTTTCATTCTCATTAAAAATCAAAGATGGCGCTGCCGTGAATAAGGCGTATTAGCGTGGGATTATTACCAAAATCTATTTAGCTTTCCACAGTGAAACAAATACTTGCCTAATGTAAGTAAAAAGTTCTCAAATAATCATCTAAACAGTCTTAACATTATCATCTTAACATTAACAACACCAACAGCAGGGTGTATATTAGTTGTATGTCATTTTAAGACCTACAATGTGCAGATGCAATAATGACCAAACAATCTACTTATCGATCTTATTTTTGCAATCAATTTTATGGTGAAATGGCAAATTATGCAAGCTTAATCAGCGATCATGGAATTGCAAAAAACTGGGGCTGGTTAAAGGTGCTTTATGTAGTTTTTAGTGGCCTCTAGCGGTGATGTTTCAGATTGCAACAACAGCACTCGTGCACTTGTGCATGCTCAAACCATAGACTGTAAGGCTCGAACTCAAGAGCGAGCACTCACTACTGGCCACACTGAGACTTTCAACACACCGGAGAAAGCATCACACAACATGTTGGAAACTCATGTAAACTCCCACTTCAATGTTACAATAATAGGCTACTTTTATCAGCTTGACGTTGAACTAATCTGCTCCATGCTCATGCCATGATAACAAAAAGGAAAACCGACATAAAAAAAAAAAAAGGAATAGCTTTGCCATTTTAACAGAAGTATAAGAATATCTTGAGGGGCCTTCAAATATTGGTTTTGACAGTGGGGACCTTGCAGTCATAAATGTTAAGAACAACTCCCGTAAATTGATCCTTCTCCTTCTCTCCCCATTAATGACCCCAAAACTACAAGCCTGTCAGTCTATCCATCCATCCATGCAGCTATCCTGTCAGAGAGTCAGTTTTCTTACGCCCTCTGTCTTTCATATGAGTGGCACGATTGACATCACAGCAATTATACGTTTCTAATACCAAAACATTAGCTAAAGGCAATAATAGAACATTGTTTAAAAGAGAGAGAGAGAGATAAAATAAAGACTTTCTGAACAGTCCGCTCAGGGCTTAAAATGGCCTGTATGTCTTTTCAAAACAGATGGATCTTGTCTTATCTGTTTAATTTGTTGAGGAATTTTGAATTTCCTTCATTTGAAAATGTGGCAGAGATGTCGTTGTTTGTGTACGCATTTGCATGTTCCATTGCTCAGCTGTGAGTGTGAATCTGTACCTTGTCGGGGTGTTTCTCAGGCACACGATGGACAAGCAGCCTTTAGTGCTGCTCTATCTGTTTGGACTGTATTTTTAAGAACCTCTCTCATTTCTCCTAGAACTATAATGGTGTTTCTGATGTGGAGCTAAGGATAGCAATGCCAGACAAAACTACAGTTACGGTCCGGGTGAGAAAGAATTGCACAACAGACCAGGTCTACCAGGTAATGTATTGAACTCATTTGAGTTATCTAAATCAGTTTCTAAATTCACACATTTCATTAATTCTCACTGTCTCCCCCCCCAGGCTGTAGTAATGAAGATTGGGATGGACAGCATTACTGCAAGTTATTTTGCTCTGTTTGAAGTCATTAACCACTCTTTTGGTGAGATCTCTTCATCATTTTTCCTAAATGACAATGTTATATGCCTGTTATATGTCTTAAGTATTACTAGTGACTAAGGTGACTATTCGTTCAGATTTTTTAAATCTTTTGAAATCGTGTTCGGTTAAGATTGCGTTCCAGTATAAATCGCTTTTCAGGGGTGGGGGAATGCCTATTACCATATCTGAATACCAGCTCCAGAGGCTTCCTCAGCACTTGATACACAAAGATACGAACAGTAATAAAGGCGTCGGGTTTTTCTGTACCAGTTCTAGCAAGTATTAGACAAATCGTCTGCATTTTCATCCCTGAAAACAGTCTTCTTGATATGAACAACACTAACCAAACTCTTCCAGGCCTCAGCTACAAATACAGCTAGGAATTTAAAGGAAACCAATTTCACATAAGAAATACATTGTACTTTTGTACTAAATTTTAACTTTGTATCTTACAATTGTGACCTAATTTTGCAGAATGTAAATGTATTTATTTTAAACCTTATTAATTACCTTTCTATTCTGAAGCAGAAACAGACCAGATGTTTTTTTTTTATATATATATATATATATATATAAATCAAATACACTTGTCAACATCACACCTACACATACTTATCTGCATGTATGGGGTTTGTTATCTCATGCCTATTTGTTTACTAATCTTCTTATCCAGTCACTTAATGAAACCAAAATGTATGTGTAGGTGTGCACACCAGTTTTCCAGTGTGAAAAAAAAACCCATTCACATTTTATGATTTGATGCATCAAAAATCACTGTACTTGAAATGAACATGTTTGGCTAGCATGTCTCAACTCATGTGTTTAAGTAGCAGGGTCTTGTGTTCTAATCAAGCTCAATATTTATTGACTGGTTTTATATAACTTTCATACCTCAATATATAATATTAATGATATAAAGTAATATATAATGATAAATGAAGTACATAATAAAGTCCTTCTATGATTTTTTTACTCGGACTCATCATTTGTCACACTTTCTCTCTGTCCCGGTTTCTTACTGCTTATTTGCCTCTATATTTCTGTCTCTCGATCTCTCAGCACGCAAGCTGGCCCCTAATGAGTTTCCACACAAGCTGTATGTTCAGAACTACACATCTGCCATCCCAGGCACCTGCCTCACACTCCGCAAGTGGCTCTTCACCACAGAGGAAGAGATTCTTCTCAATGACAACGAGCTGGCTATCAACTATTGCTTCCATCAGGTTTGTGTGCACTTTTTCAAGAAATTGTGTGTTTGTGTCTAAGCGTTTTCAGTCTGTACTGGTGTTTACTTGTTTCCTCTCTCTTTTAGGCTCTGGATGATGTGAAAAAGGGATTTATCAAAGTGGGAGAGACATCCTACCAACTCCAAAAGCTCTCTGAACAGAGGAAAATGACCATGGTGAGTCTGGTCTGGGGGTTAAAGGGATCGTTCATCCAAAAATGAAAAATTTGTGTGTGCTGTTATGTTTTCTGCGGAAGGCAAAAAAAGTTTTGAATCTTGAATCCTTTTTCCATTTTGAATTATCCAGCTCTCAAATCAAATATCGCTTCTATGGCGAACGTTTAATATCATGAAGTTTCATTAACATTAATGTCCATCTATAATGTGTGCCCCAGAATTGCTGTTCTTTTATTCGTACCGAATTTTCCGCACTATAAGGCGCACTTAAAAGCCTTTAATCTTCTCAAAAAATGACAGCGCGCCTTAAATATGGATCAGTTGGTTAACAACGCTCAGTGTTATTAAATTTGCCCGCGAACTCGCGCTTGTGTCCATCTTATGCCTGCTTTGTCACACGGCCAGTTCAACCTCATATAAATCAGGTTATGTGTGTCTCCCGCTCACAAGCGCTCACACGAACAGACACACTGTCCCGGCGCTGCTCGCGCGTCACAGAATGTTCATAAAGCGCTCCCCGTTTACAGTAACCGGGTCGTCTCATTCAAAACGGCCAGCTGTTGCTGTCAACGAGCCGCCGAACATTGAATACTCAGGAGTCAGGCTGCGAATGTAAACGCGCCCGCCCCAGCGCGTTCACACCAATAAACACCTCACCTCCGGCGCCGCGCACTCGCTACATTCCCTTTAGCACATCTAGTGGATGCATAACGCAAACCCAGTTAAACGGAACTTTGACTGCAGTATCTTATGCGCCTCATTATCCGGTGCGCCCTATATATGAAAAATGTTCTAAAATAGCTCATTCGTTAAAGGGGGTGCCTTATAATCCGATGCGCCTTAAAGTGCGGAAAATAAGGTAGTTTCCACAAAAATATCAGACAGCACAACGGTTTTCAACATTGATAATAAAGAGTTTTAATATCAGTACATCCCTAATTGAAAGGTGATTGTGAAAAATGAATCTTAATCTTCTGTACCATCTTCCTCTGTAGTATTTAGGTATTCTGAGGACATGTGAGGGTTACAATGAGATCACTTTCCCGCACTGCTCCTGTGACTCACGGAGGAAAGGTCACGTCGTCACAGCGATAAGCATCCACCACTTTAAACTCCATGCGTGCACAGATGATGGCACTCTAGAGGTGAATGTGTGAAACATTGCTTGCTAGGTGTCATAATTTAACTGTAGTACATGTTGTTGATACCACTCAGAAACGAACTTTTATAAGTAAGAAAAAACTGTTCAACAGCTTTTCAACAGCAATGATTTTCCATTTGTGCGATTACAGAATCAGGTGATAGCGTTCGAATGGTCCGAGATGCAGAGATGGGACACGGATGAAGAGGGAATGGCTTTCTGTTTCGAGTACGCGCGAGGGGAGAAGAAACCTCGCTGGGTCAAAATCTTTACTCCTTATGTGAGTCTTGTACGTCCATGTGATCTTGGAACTTGCATTTATTCTTGTGCACTAAAGATGCCTTTTCTTTTCCAGTTCAACTACATGCACGAGTGCTTTGAGAGAGTCTTCTGTGAGCTCAAATGGAGAAAAGAGGTGGGTACTTATATTGTAAATTAGTGTTTGCTTGTCTTTTGCTCTGTGTTATTATAAGATTGATATATTTTTCAGGTTGAAGAGGAGGCCACAGACAAGGACAATAAAAACTGCAGTAAAGATGGTATGTGCGGTAAGGTAAGGCTATGCCTGCCTCCATACTGAATTGTGGACATTAATGTCCATCTATAATGAAGCATGTCTATCTTTGACAGAATATCTTCCAGCTGTTGAGACACAGAAGGGATGGAGGCACATGAATGAAGAGATCATCTCCTCTTGAATTCTCGAAAACATGCACACGTACACTAAAATCTGCATACAGTGAACATTTCAAACCAGTCCCATATGCTTACATGCACTCCACCACTGATACACACATAATGAAATACGAAGATATGAAGCAGGAAATGACACAATCACAGTGCAATGATGAAAATAAGAAACTACAAGAGACTTTTAAAGACTTCCGTCATCATTTCATTTCATTGGACTGAACAGAATTATGTTGGACGTACCGGAGTTGACCGCCAGCTCAGGACAGAAGAGACGGCACTCAGAGACTGTAATGCTCCAGGAGACGGACGTGGTCATTGACATGGCACCAGCATTGTGATTAATTCATGTCATGTGACTGGTCACAAGACGAGGTCTTCAGATGCTGACAACTGAGAGACTGAGCTGTGCTTCTGAGGAGTGCGTCAATTTAAAGACATGGAAACGTCAGCGAACTGACTATTAATGTATCATCCTGACACTAACACGTATACCTGTGAGGGCAGAGATGCTCTCTCAGAATGTGACAATTTAAAGGTACACTGTGTAACTTTTAGCGCTCTAGCGATTATTAAACAAAACTGCATGAGTCTTGCGGAAGAACATTGTGGCCGGAGTTTATGTCTATACAGGTCGCGCCGGTAATGGCATCCTGCTCGGTTTAAAATAGCCCGAATATAAACTCATATTATAGGCGTACCGAAGTGATTCAGGATAATGCAGAGACGCAGTTTGGAAGATGGATTCATGATGTACCCGCTCATTATATAGCCTACATTTTGAAAACCAAAAAGTTACATGGTGGACCTTTAAACAAAAAAGAATATAAAACAAAAACATTACTACATTTTCCACTTGGACAATCAGAGTGAGAGAGGGAAAGGGAAAGAGAAAGAGAGAAAAAAAGGGCAAGAGAGACGGATCAATACTTTCCATGCTTTTCCACATTAATTTGTCTCTTACCTCACTATTGCCACTGTGTTGGTAGTAGGTTTGTACAGATTTTCAGCCCTTTAGCTGAACTGAGGTTTTAATTTAATTGGGTTTTTTGTGCTCACATCTGTCTTATTCTTCAAAGCAGTATTTGGTTGCATTAGCTATCACCAGGTCCAGATGTAATTTCTGTGCAGATTTTAATGGAATTTTCTCCTGGTAAAATGTGTTAAATGGGTCAATGACGTGACGTTCCTTTTAAATCTATTTTATTTATTCAAATCAAAATGTTAAAAATGCGATTCAAATATAAAGATATTAAATACACATCTTTTGTAAGTTTTATTAATTTTTTCCTTCTTTTTTAGGGTGGTTCTGGATTTAAAGTCATGTGGTTTAACTCCCCCCTCCCTCCCCTTCAAAAACATAATGATGATCATTTATTATAATGATAAAAAACAATACTTTTCTTTAATTTAAATACATTTTCAAAATAAGTATTAAATGAGTGATTCTCAACTTCTTTGACTTCCCTTGCACCATTTTCAAAGGCCCCTCATATTTGCTATATTTTTACTGATAAATTTGGTATAATTATTACAACTTTTTTGAGTGTATATATATATATATATATATACTTGGATTTTTTGGCCTGTTTTTATTTTATTTCAATTAAGGTATTATTTTAATAGACTCTATATATTTTCTCCTCATGGGCACTCTTGCTTGTCATTGACCTGAACACATGCAGCTAAACATACCTATATTGATAGCTGAATGCATGAATAAATGAATGAGTGAACAATCAAGGGCTGAAAAACTTGTGAATTATGAGTGTTGTAAATCTGCAGAGTCTGTGTGGATCTGGCACAAAAAAAACTAAACAAAAAAACACCTGCGCGCACAACAAATCATCTGTAAAAGAGCTGTGTGGGTGTTCACTCATCTCATATGTTACTTCAGTTGAACAGTATTAACAGTGTTATAAATGTGAAGCACTGAATTGGAAAGCCAGTAGTGTTTATCTTGAATATTGGTCTGTTTGTTTTATGAGCTTTAGGTTGTCATGCCTTCATTCAGCAGTAGGGGGCTCTGACCACACAGGAAGCCATCTACATCAAACTGTGTGAGTGTGTGACCATTTAATCGTTTCCCCCTTCCACTCCCGCTCCAATTTTACTTATTGTAGCGCAGGCGCATACAAATCTGTCGGACCAGACCAGTCAGGACATGTTTTGCACTTTTTAAATAACATATGTGTGATGTGTGTTAAAAGACTGCATTGTTCCTTTAAAAGTTTCATCACATTCATTGACTTAAAAGAAATATTCCTGGTTCAATACAAATTCATATTTATCGGCACAATGTTGATTACAAGAAAAGTAGTTTCAATTAAAAATCTGGGTTACAGTAAAGCACTTATAATGGAAACTAATGGGGCCAATCTGGAAAAGATAAATACTGACGTTTAAAACAGTCACAATGCATAATGTGTATTAACACGTGTGTTGTGTGTGTTTCTCAGATTGTTTGTTTTCTGTAAAATGTTATATCCAACTTGAAGACTTTACAGTTAAAATAATACACAAGTTTTACAAGAAGAATTCATGTTTTAGCTTCATATTTCTGCTTTTAAATCCTCTAAATATTGGCTCCACCATATCCTTGATTGTATTTTTTTTTAATTTGATTAACCTTTTTACTAAAGAGTTGAATGAATTGGCTAGTATTCAACCAGGAATATTCATTTAATAGACAAATTGAATACGCAACGACTTTGAACAGAACCATTTATGTTGTGTTGGATTACTGTCTTGTATAACAGTTATGCTGGTTATCATGGGATTTCACAGATTCACGCAAAGCCTCTGTGCAAGCATATGGAACAAATGTCTCTTCTTTCTTGTCAGAAAGGCTTGTCATAGATTTAAGATGAGACTTTTAACGTTGTCTCTCCCCTCTCTCATTCTTTACTCTTTCATTCTCTCCGTTTGTTTGCTCTGGTTGTTTTTCTCTATTGGTGAAAACTTTTATTTATTTGAATATGGAATTCAAACTCAAATATCTCTGTACAGTATTTTCAGCGTTGTGAGTTTTGGGTAACCTTTTCAAAAAAATCAGGCACAAAGTGACTAGTATGAACCTAAAGAAGCAATGTAGGACACACAGCAAATAAAACAAAACAAACTATACAGTACCTGGAGGTTTTGAAATCGATATCTCAAGTTGATATGAATTAATGTAAAGGCAAAATGTTTGTTCATAGCATTATAATAAAATGTAACATATTCTTTTAAATAAATTGATTTATTGACCCAAAGCTTCTGTCCGTGTGACCTTTTGGTGACCTCTCAGTGAGAACCAGTGACGGATACACTGAAAAGTGTATCTTATACACATCAAAAAGATGTGGGCAGAGGTGCCAACGCAGGAATAATTTAGCAGCTGTATAAATTGTGAATGGGATTAGTAACAGTAGTGTTGCTCTCTGTGGGTCATGTCACTGACCTTCACCCCAGTGATTTTATCAGGCATTTAACAATTAAAGAACAAATGGGACCTGAAACACAAGACGGCTTGTGTCACTTCAGCAGCAGCGTGAGCGTCAGGCCTAGTACAAGTTTCTACTGCCTTTGCCAGTTGAGGAAGTTCAACCTGCCACTAACGCTGCTGATATGGGTCTATTAAGTTGTCACAGAGTCTGTCATGTACACCTTTAGAACTGCCTGGTTAGGTTTGCTCACCAAATCAGACAAAACAAGGCTGCAGCCGACAGTCTGGACATATCGCTACCTCCAGAGCAGGTTATCTTTTAATCTTTTAGATGCCATGAACTGCCAAATAGGCTATGACTCCTGCAATCCCTAGTGATCCTCATATACATTTTTAAAGGCAGCTACATATTTTCATGTAAAAGACCCAATTAACCTAAAAATATAGGCCTATTTTAAATGTGTAAAATATTATTTAAAAAAAATGTTTTTTTTCTTTTCAGATCAATTTTTATTTATTTTTTTATTAAAATGTACCCTATCTGTACCCTAAATTAATGTACTGTTTTTATTTTAAATTTAATAAAACGTTTTATTTATTGAGTAATTTAATGTAATTGATTAATATATTATGTTTTTTATTTTATATTATATGTTTAAGTAGGCTATTGGTTTAATAATTTTTTAAATTATTATTATTATTAATTATTATTATTTATTTTTTTACACTGCATTTCTCTAAACTTCTCCACGGACCCCCTAGTTACTCCCAAGGCCCCCCAACGCCCCCCCCCCCCTCTTCGGATTGAGGAAAATCCATGGGAAAATCAGGCAACTGAATATTATTCTTTATATTATGATATCATATTACATTTTTTCATACTGATCGACATGTGAATAGTGAATAGCTATAAACCACACCGAGCATTATTTACTAAAACAATTTCAAGTCCTGCATTACACAAATCGCTGTTTCATTTATATAAATGAATAAACGATCGTGCTTTCAGGATCACATTGCGGTTTCTTGCGAAGCCCTACGTCATCAGAGAGCGTCAAAAACACCGTCGCAGCTACGCGCCACATTTCATTGTCATTCACCAGCGCTGTGTTTTCAATCTGCATGTGGCCTCTTGCAGGGACGTTGCAGGATTGTTTACGTCGTCTGCAGTGCGCATGTAAGTATATTTACTCCATGTAACCTACATAGCTTTTATGTAACTTACTACATCAACGCGTTTTCGGAACGGAGTGGGAAGTGGATTTTCCTGGAGTGAGAGAAATGCTTCAAAGCTTCTCCGATCGCGGATTGGCGTTGGCTGTCGAAAGAATAGTCAATATGCCGTGTCCATTGATTCTTTTTACCCTAGTTACCTTTAATTGAATGTTGTTGCATGTTTGCAGTTGAATAGATGATTAGCAAATGGTATATAGCTCGTTGTATTTGCTTACTTGCCCATAACGCGATGTTTTCATCCAAACTGAGCAACCTCCGATGTCCTTGTAACGTTACCTAGTTTTCGGTTTTCATAAATTAAAGGGATTGTTGATACTGGACCAAGAAGATATTTGGGGATTAGTTTAGAAAACATGTTTTTTTTTTTTTTTGTAAGAACAAAAATAAAACCATGATATTACTATAACGCAAAGACATTGTACCACATTTCTTTTTCGTACGGAACTCTCTCTATTAGAGAGGCCAAGTCCCTCCCCTTCCGGTCGACCATATGGCAGTCAATGGCGAAAGACAACAAATCTTTTTGATCTCGTTTGAATTGTGCTCTGAATTACATATTATGTTTGTCAATTTAAAAGATGCATTTTAAAGTTAAGAAAGTCGCAGTTTGATGAACAACGGTTGTGGTTTAAGACCAAATAGCCTACTACAAGCCCCAGTTAGTCAACGTTACTCCGTCATGCCTGAATGTTTTGTATCAGACTGCACACATACAAGCAACGGATCTTGCTCGTTGTTTCGCTTCCCGGAGATGTAGGTTATTTAGCGATTTTCACTTAAAACTAAATGTTACTCTTCTGTATTATGACAAACTGTGAATTTCTTGACTTTCAAAGTCAAGAAATATAGCCTATATATATATATATATATATTTTTTTTTTTTTCCGAAGTAAGGTCCCATGAGACGGAAGCGAAGGAGAGACCGTGGTTATCTTAATATCTCCGTGGTTACTTATTAAATACTATTTTAAAAACTCGAGCTAATTACATTTTAATATGTATTCTGGTCAAAAACAAAAAAGTAAGTACCATAATGATTATTTATACAATCACTTCACACTGTTACGGCCACACTACGGCTGTATGAAAACATTTAACGTTAAATTAAAAAGTACGTTATTCGTTTCACAATTTACCTCACAATAAATGTAGTGACGCAAAATAATAATTGTAAAGATGGCAGTCATATTAATAATATATGAGCATGAATTTTAAAGAATACTCGTAGGCTATACGTTATACATCAACTCTTGAATATGGTGAAGCAGTTGCTGTCTATGTAGCCTAAAGCCCTGAGCTAGTTACATAGTGATAACTTTGCGTGACTGTGTGTATTGGATAAACTCTGTTATTAAGCGCCTCCTGGAGACATTTGTACATGACCAATATTTTTCCAGGCCTTTTCTTTTAGAGAAGTGAAGTCGAGGCACGCTCATCCTCAGAACCGTTTTACACTTAGCACGAGCTCCTGAAGATGTTAAGCCACCTCAGGCTTTAGCAGGAGGTTATAAACTGCAGTGCAGTTTCATGTCGGTCACCGCACTGTAACCTCATGTATTATGCATCTGGGAGGGTCGCAGGTGGAGGTTTGCTTTCCGTCTGCTGGCTGGTGAAATCTGAAACGAAACCAATAGTTCAACGCCTATGATAAAATGAGTAGTGCAATGCAGTATTAATCTGTCGCGCTGTTAACTGATATGCAGTAATATGAATACAGTCGTCCCCGCACGAGTTGTTTCACAGTTTGTTAAAACCTTGGAACGATTTCTTGCTATTTGTGTTTTCAGATACGTTTTACTCCATTAAGATTTTGTCATTACCAAATGGTGTAATTACAGTTTATGAAACTGTAAAATAGGCATATGAAACTTTCAAAAGCTCCTGACTAATGGCGCCGCCTGCTGTCACTTTAGCGAAATGCGGGTTGCGAGCTTGGAGGAGAATAGAAAACGAAACTTAAAGTGGTCTGTAATTAGTTCGCAACATTCAGCGTTTACGATTGGTTTCTATTTTCTTTTATTGCTTATATAGTTTTTCCAACACGCGTTACAAAAGTGTATACAAGTTTCAGGATCATCTCGTGTTGTGGAGTTTGTGGATCTAAACCATTTGCAGAGGCCACCAGGGAAAACCTAGGAGTATTGCTGGAGTTTAATCCGTCTATTTCATTTTCGTTTTGCACGCGGAACAGTGTTTAGTCAGTGCACGAGTCTGGGCCTTACCTAGTTTATCTGTCAAGTTCATCTGTCTTTTACCTTTAGTTGTTTTTGTGGTATGTATATCATTATTCGTGTTCGTCTGAATGGGGTTTTACTTGTGTAGGTAAACACTCTTTTTGTCAAAGTGACTGAACCATTACTGTAGATAGAATCTGTGCTAAAACTAGGAGTCAGTAATTAATTTTAAAGAAGGCTTTAGATACATAGTATTGTAGCAAACACCCTATTATTTTTATCCTTAGAGGGCCCCACTTACGCTTTTTGGTGATAGAATAGCCTATTCTAAATTTGTATATGGTTCCCATCTCTCCATGGTCATAGATAGAACACCCAGCTAGAACTATCAGGGAATTTTAAAATTGAACAGAAACATAATACAGATATACACTTTCCAAAGTCATGGGAATGTGTAAAACTTAGGAGTCATATGCAGTTGTTTTCTTAGAAATATTGTCATTTTCCAATATTTAAATGTTTAATAACCCATCTACCTCAACTCTCAGTTTTGAAGGCATTCATTTATTTAAATGGCTAATTGGCTAAACTTTCTGCTCTCACAACAGGCTTTTCCTTGGTAAAAAAAAAAGGAAATTACCTTGGAGTGCCGTGTTAGTACCGTGGGTATTTGAATACCATCTCTATACTGTGCTACCTCAGTGTATTTTGAAAGGAGTGTAAATATCACTTAATATCACTTGCCACTTAAATATCAGATTTGTATTAGGGATATCAAAGTGTCAAGTGTGACTGTCTCTTCAGAATGCTCATGGAGGAGCACACGGAAAGAGATTGAGCAGCAGAATAACTTTCCTTCTTGCTTAAGCTTAATTAGGAAGTGTGCTGCCACTATTATATCTGAAGTAAAATGTGGAGCTGCATCAAAGTGCTGAATTATTTCTCGTCTATGCTAGGGTTTGATTGGAGGATATGAGGTATGTGGGTTTTTAATAATAATTTTCATTGTACACTGGAATGTAACAAAAAGTAACATGCAAAAATTAAGTGGTTAGAAAAATGTAGGCCCTACCTCCCACAATCTTTTTTTTTTTTTACTTTGTGTATTATGTAATGTGTGATAACCTTGCTACTTTTCTGAGCTATTGTTTCCTGAATCTATTAAAAATAATGAATGATGGCTAAACTCTCTATTGACCTGCTGTACTGTGAATCTTAGTAATCAACTTATTTTAAACTCACAGCAATTCACCATACATGTACTATGCTGTAGTAGAGTACTGCATTTTGTGTAAAAAAAGTGTTTTTATTTCTGTTTTCCAAAGTTTTTCCAGTCTCACAGCTTTACTCATTGTGCTTAAGCTACTACAATTTCTCGCGTTGAGAGAGAATATCCTTGAAAATGCTTTCCTCTAATACCCATGACCACTTTCCCTCACCATAAGGATTAGCAAATTACTCGCTAAGCCAGAAATAAATTGATTGTGTCACAATAAACATGAATAATTAATCTGTGAGCCTTTTACCAAGTGTTCAAATTACAGTCTGCTCTGTTGCCAAGAAATGTGCCAACAGAATTTGTGTGTCTGGACAGTGACACTGCAACATCAAAAAGCATGCTTTCACTTTGCATTCTTTAATGGGTTTTTCTGTTTTTCTATGTCTCTCTGCAGAGGAAGCAGTGCACAGACTATCCTATTGCTATCATTGTGACATTACATCCAGAGAGCTGAGTCTCATCCTAACACGTCCACAAAGTCAAACGCTACTCCCTCCTCGCCCCCGACCCCTGCGCTATGAGCAGAGGTAGAGGAGGGTTTAACAAAGATTGCCAGCGATTCTCCCTCCCTCCCCAACAGGGAAAACTTCAGTTTCATTCTCACACGACCACTGGACACCAACGGGGCCCTTGTGTCCCAAGCCCCGGCTCTGTATCTGGCAACTATCTGCACCCTTCTCTTAACTCCTCTTACCCGGGTGCTCCTGGCGTGCTTCCACGTGGTCATCCTTTTCCCCCTAGTCCTTCTGATTCACCCCTGTGGGCATCCTCCCACCACAGCAGTGATCAGATCTCCCACCCAAATAGTGTAAGTTTCCGACAATACCAGGTGCAGTTCCTCAGGGGGCAAAGTGCACAGGCTCCACAGTTCAAAGCACCCCAGCAACAAGGGTCCCAAATCCCCAGCCAAGGGGAAAAGGTATCAACTGGGCCTCTCCACTACCAGACAGGTTATCGAGACTTCAAAACAAGCGGTAACAGTTTCGGAAGAAGAGACTGCTACACGAGGGGCAGAGGAAACTGGCAAAGGGAGCCTAACTTTAACCCCAAGAAAAAGTCGGGGTGGAATCACCCTCATCAGAAGGGACAGTATTATCCAAATCAACAGACTAAGCATTACTGGAATGCACAGGCAGATGATGTGTCCTCTAGCCTTCATAGTCTGAGTTTAAGTGACCGAATAACAAGGGTAGACAACTCTGACATTTTGTCCTGTAGTAGTATTTCCAGCAAGGTTTTCAGTTCTTCTGGCTCGGTCAGAGAGTCTCTGTATTTGACCCCAGAGATCCAGCAACAGGTCTTTGCTTTCTTGACATCACTCGGGCCAGACGAGACCATTCAGGCAAGAGCCTTGGGCAAAAAGCTTGGTCTTCCCAAAAAGATTGTTAATAAGGCTTTATATGCCCTCTTAAAGACAAACCAAGCAGTGAAGCAAGGTGAGGTCCCTCCTCTGTGGAGACTCTGCAAGGAAGAGGACAGTGAGCCAATCAAAGGAAGAGACCTATCGCAGTCTTCAAAGGATTTGGTGAAAGAGCCAGGTCAGAGTTCATCCATAAAACAAGAGGCTACAGAGCATCTCACCAACACCAGTGCTCCCTCTGCATCACAGATCCTCGTAGAGGCTGACGGCAATATCAGTGACCAGTCGGAGGACTCTGAAGGTGACGTTACCTGTGAAACGTTGATTCCTGTCCAGGATCAACAGACTCTTTTACCTGCAGTACAGTTGGTAACCGTGTCAACAATGGCTGACTCTAAAGATGGCAAAGAGAAGATCCTACAGTACCTCTATGAAGTGGGTTCGGGTAATTCGCTTGTGATCTCCAAGAACCTCGGGCTGCGCAGTGCCAAGCAGGTTAATCCCACACTCTATGCCATGGAGAAACAAGGTGATGTAAGGCGCAACACCGAAGTAACTCCACCTACATGGTCACTTAGTGCACACCGGCAGGAGAAGATGGACCGCCAACGAAAAGCTGCGGCGACTGAAAAACGGGCTGTTAACAGTGCCGAGATGTTTAACTTGGCAGCTGAAGGGATTGGAGATGTAGCTGCGGTCAAGTTGGAACCAGATGATGAATATGATTTTTCAGGTGATATTGGAGCAGTGCCGATGGATGGGGGTAAAAATCCATTGGTGGAGATGTTGGACAACAATAACATTTTTGGTAACTCAGAGCTTGACATACCTGGCCTTGAGCCAACACCCCCAAATCCCAGTGATCATTCCTCCTCCAACTTCAGCTCCTTCCAACCTCCTCCCCATCAGTTCTCATACTATCAGGATACGGCCAGTAATGGGGGAGAACGTTCACAGTGGGCATCTGATGATATTCCAGAATTCCTGAACACGATCCGCTCTGAGGTCGCTGTTTCATTGGCTGCTCCCGCTCCCCCAGCTCAAAGCCTGGAGTCAAGCAGATTCCAGAAACTCAAGGAGGCCCGCAGTAAGAACCCAGTTAGCGGGCTGATGGAGTTTGCTCAGCATCTTGGACACACTTGTGAATTCCTACTTCTGGAGCAGTCTGGACCCTCACATGATCCCCGGTCAGTTGATGAAAAGTTTGTTTGTGGTTGCAATGCATGTCAGCATTTGTTTGCCTGTGTTGAGACCTGTTTTTGTAATTACACAGCTGTGATTAATTTAAGAATTTGTGAAACAGCCCATTTATTCTTGGAGAAGTTATAAAGTAATGTTCTCTTGTTAGTGAATTTTTAGTTTAATGAGATTGCATGATTAATAATTAGTAGAAACAAACTGTTTACATTTAAATAAAGTTTATAGCTTGAGATTTTTTTTTTCTTTTTGTCTCCAGGTTTCGGATGCAGGTCATGTTAGATGGTCGCAGGTTTCCACCAGCTGAGGGTTCAAACAAAAAAGTGGCCAAAAAAGATGCTGCAGCCGTAACCCTGAAGATTCTTTGGAAGGAGATGAAGGGAACAGGTGGAGATGGAGATGAAGAGGAAGAATCGAGCATGGAGGGAGCTGAGCCAACCACTGACCTGTCAGATGAAATGCTAGTATGTTTGTTTTCAAAGTTGCAAGAAAACTGATCATTTAATCTTCTACAGATAATATCTTTGTCCTATTTTACCTTTAATTTAAATGTGCATTTTATAAAATATGTATTTTGTATATTACCTACAATATAAAAATATTAATTTAAAAATATTACATTGATTTAGGATTAGGGTTGGGAATCGTGAGAAATTTTCCGGTTCCGGTTCCGATTCCGGTTCCGCCAAACGATTCCGGTTCCGGTTCCGGTTCCCATTCAATTAAAAATATTAGTAAGAGAAAAATCCACAATCCTTTTTGTGTTTATTTCTTATAGTAATTGACAAATTAGTTTAACAGACTGGTAATGTAAACAAACTCAAAATATTATTAAGCAATCTTTGCAAAAAAAAAAAAAAAAATATATATATATATAAAGGAAATTAAAAAATTCTGCAGTCTCTATAATAATTTAGACCTCTCCTTTATTGTATCTCCAACAGTGAAGAATACCCTCTCAGAAGGAGTAGAATATGCTTTAACACACATATGTGTGTAGAACAGATTATTTTTTAAAACGGTTTGAATGATTGATTTATAAAGACTTTACTTATTTCATTACTGGATAAATCGGCGCTCTAGCAGTTAATAAACAGAACTGCATGCGTCTTGCGGAAGAACATTGTTGCCGGAGCTACTTCTCTCTATTTATGTCCATGACGAGTCACGCAGGCATTGGGCTACTCCGCAGCAGCTGCGATCCGCCGGCCAGTCTAAACAAGAAGTCCGAGTATTAACGCTTATTACAGGCTTTACGTAGTGATTCAAGATAAGACAAAAGCACGGTTTGAAAAAAAAACATTATGATGTACTCGCTCATTGTATATATTTTGTAAATTCTGAACACAAAAAATATACGGACTGCATCTGTTTTGACCACTACCGTCAATGTTTACTCAAACTATAATCTCACTAATTCTGTAACGGAAATCATTTGAATATGTGAAACAAATAAATATTGAGACTGTGTGATTGTAAAGCAGTTTCATATCGACAACTGCTCTCTCTCTCTCTCAGCGCAAACAGATTTGAATGTAGGCTAGAGAGTGACTCTCGGCGGTCGGCGCGCGCAGCGTGCGTGTGTCTGTGTGACAAATGCAGCGCGTGTGAGAGCAAATCGCAACTTCAGTGGTGAAGTTTTTGTCATTTAGGAATAAGACGGCGTCTTCTACTCCCAGCACTTCGCCCACATGATGATATCGCATCGGCATCAGAACCGTTTTCGGAACCGAAACTTAGGAATTTTGCACGGTTCCGGTATTTTTTCAAAAACACAACCGGTTCTGGAAAAGAACCGGTTCTCGGTTCCCAACCCTATTTAGGATTATTATATTGAAAGGATTAGTTCACCTCAGAATAAAAAATTCCTGATAATTTACTCACCCCCATGTCATCCAAGATATTAATGTCCTTCTTTCTTCAGTCGAAAGGAAATTAAGGATTTTGAGGAAAACATTCCAGGATTTGTTTTTCCGTAAAGTGGACTTCAACAGATTGAAGGTCCAAATCGCAGTTTCAATTCAGCATCAAAGGGCTCTACACGATCCCAACCGAGGAATAGGGAATAATTTTGTTTATCTAGCAAAAAATTACCGACCTAGTGTTTACAAAGTGAACGTGCAAAGACATTTACTGCCTGAACTTTCCAACGCGATTACGTAATACATGAAGTCATGGACATCCAACACGAGCATTTATGGTTAGAAAGTATATAATTGTTTTTTTTTTTTTTTTTTTTTTTTAAATGATGGATAGTTTTGCTTGATAAGACCCTTATTCAAATTTATTTGTATAGCGCTTTTCACAATACATAGTTTCAAAGCTGCTTTACAGGAAGTGCATTTCAGAAATGTACATGGAAAAATACATTTGGTTAATCATGTAATAATTTAGGGCATAACATATCGCCGGCGTTGAGTCGTCTCTTCACAGGCATCGAGTCGTCTCTTCACAGGCATTTAGTCGTCTCATCGGAGGTGTTGGGGCATCTGAACTCACCGTGAGAGGTTGGATACAAACTGGAGCTGACAAACGCCATTTTCCTCGGAGAAGCAAATGGGAAATAATTAGTATAGCTACTGTTCATAATATTAAAGCATTCGATCTGATTCAACAGATGAATAAAAGGTAAGCATTATTTGAATGCTTGGCTAAAGAGATGTTTTTAATCTAGTTTTAAAATGGGACAGCGAGTCAGAACAATATCAGGAAGGCTATTCCAGAGTTTTGGAGCTAAATGCGAGAACGCCCTCCCTCCTTTAGTGGATTTAGATATCCTAGGAATGACCAGAAGCCTCGAATTTAGTGATCTTAAAGAACGCGATGGACTGTAGGGCGATAGAAGGTCCATTAAATACACAGGAGCTAAAGCTAACCATTTAGGGCTTTATAGGTCAGTAGTAATACTTTGTAATTGATACAGAACTTAATAGGTAACCAATGTAGAGATGATAAATTGGTGTTGTATGATAATTTTTACTTGACCTAGTAAGAACTCTTGCAGCTGCATTTTGCACTAACTGTAGCTTGTTTATTGAGGATGCTGGACAACCGGCTAATAAAGCATTACAGTAATCTAGTCTCGAGATCATGAATGCATGAACTAACTTTTCTGCATCAGAAACAGATAGCATGTTATGTAGCTTTGCAATATTTCTAAGGTGGAAAAAGGCTGTTCTTGTAACATATGAAATATGATTTTCGAAAGACAAGTTGCACTCTAGTATAACACCTAGGTATTTTACTGTAGTGGATAAAGTAACAAGACATCCTTCTATATTGAATTTCTATTGTAAGTAATAAGTAATACCTCCGTTTTATCTGAATTTAATAACAGGAAACGTCATCCAGGATTTTATATCTTTTAGACTCTCTGTCAATTTAGATGAGTTAATGTTCTCATCTGGTCGTGATGAAATATATAGTTGAGTGTCATCAGCATAACAGTGGAAATTAATTCCATGTTTTCTTATAATATTACCTAGTGGCAGCATATATATTGAGAATAGCAGAGGGCCTAACACCGATCCTTACGGCACTCCATAGTCTACTGACGTTATCTTCGATTTTTCCACGTTTAAACAGACAAAATGATAGCGGTCCGATAAGTATGATCTAAACCGGCTTAATCAAGTAGAAGCGCCAAGATCAAGTAGAACTAGTATTTAGATACAGCCTTGGTCAGAAGCTAAAAGTAAATCATTTGTAATTTTAACTAGCACAGTTTCTGTGCTATGATGCGGTCTGACTCTGAATCCTGACTGACTGAATTTTTCATAGATATCATTTTCCTGCAAGAAAGAGCACAATTGAGCGGACACAACTTTTTCTAGTATTTTAGACATAAATGGAACATTTGAAATGCGTCTGTTGTTTGCTAGGTTATTTGGATCGGTTTCTTTTTATTACTGCCAGCTTGAATATTTTTGGAACATGACCTAAGAATAAAGATGAGTTAATAATATTGAGAAGATTCCACTATAGGTAACACTTCTTTCATTAGTTTAGTGGGATCTAATAAACATGTTGTTGGTTTAGATGCAATGATAAGGTTATTTAGCTCTTCCTGTCCTATAATTAAAAAGCGGTATTCCTATCATTCCTCGGCTGGGATCGTTTAGAGCCTTTTGAAGCTAAATTGAAACTGCGATTTGGACCTTCAACCTGTCGACAAACGTTGAAGTCCACTTCACTAAATGGAGAAAAATCCTGGAATATTTTCCTCAAATTTATTTTTGACTGTAGAAAGAAAGCCATGAATATTTTGGATGACGTGGAGGTGAGTAAATTATCAGGAAATTTCAATTGTGAAGTGAGCTAATCCTTTAATTTAAAATAAAATTGATTAATTTGTTTATTTATTCATCCTCTATCGTTCTGTTCATATCATTTCTAAAGGGTGACACCGATACTCCGCCCCAGGCTCTTTCTCGGTCTCTACCTGGAGGAAAGAATCCCGTTTCTGTCCTGATGGAGCACAGTCAGCGCAGTGGGAATGCCATCCAGTTTATCAAGACAGGACAGGAAGGGCCACCCCATGATCCACGGTAAAATGCATCCCATAGTAAAGAACTTTAGGTTACATCCCTTTAATCCTGCTACAGAAAGCCACATGCTTTTTATCGCATGGTATTGTGTCTCTATTTGCCAGGCTCTTCTGTCCCTGTGCTCTCCTCACATTCTCCACACCTCCAAGCACATTCTGTACTATCTCTTCTCCTCATTCTCGCTCTTCCTTTTAAAGTCCTCGACACTCTTTCCCCATTTAATTTTGTTCCCTCTATAGAACCTACTGAGCTTTTATGTTGTCTTTTTGGTAGCGCTATTCTTATCTCTTTATCTGTTCCTCATTTGTGTTTGTCTGTGTCCTTTCTTCCCTTTGCCCCTACAGTGTGATTTTTGCTGAAACAATGCCTGCCTGCTTTGTCTAATCCTGGGCCGAAATGTTGTTTTATCTGTATACTGTCTGTCTTATTATTAAGAGTCTGCATTGACAAATTAAAAGAAACAATCAACTTATTAACAATTAACTTATTAAATGAGAAATCTTAGTATTGTTAGGTTCAGAACAGCCTCCACAAACATGCATGTATAGTTCTGTCATGTGCCAGTGGATATTCATGGCCTTTAGCAAGAGAGCGATTCTGATTACTGGCCTTGATGCAAATGTAGCACTGCCTGCCAAACTTGCCTTACTGATTGGATCTAGTTGGCAAAAACAGGAATTGACAGCATGCTTGTGTGCATAAATTGCATATTTTTGTTTCTGTGTCATTCTCAGTTTCAGTGTGCTTTATCGGTGTAACAAAGTACATCTGAATAGCTGATGAAGGTAGAGGTAGTTGGTTGTAGTTGTGTCATAAGGTTTGTTTTTTAAAGAAGTCTTTTGCTCATGCTCAGCTCACCCAGGCTGCTTAATGAACCTATGAACCTATATTTCAAAATTATTTCAATTGAAAACAACTGTTTTCTATTTTAATATATTTTCAAATTAATTTATTCATGTGATGGCAAAGCTGAATTTTCAGCATAATTACTCCAGTCTTCAGTGTCACATCATCATTTTAAAATTAGTCTTAGGTGCTCAAGAAGGATGTTTTATCAATGGTGTAAAATGTTGTTACTTAATATTTTTTGTGAAAACCAAACTTTTTTTCCAAGCATTTATTTGAATCAGAGCTCAATGGAATAAAACTGCCTTAATAGATTTGGAAATATAGGCCAATGTCCATTGTGACTGATTTGTCATTTTTCACTCCTTTCTCCCACCATCTTTGCTTTTTCTTACTTCCTCTGTCAGGTTTATGTTCCGTGTTAAGGTTGGGGAACGTTTCTTCCAAGAAGCCTCAGCGCCCAGTAAGAAAGCAGCGAAGCAGCTGGCAGCGGAGGAGGCCGTGAAGGAGCTAATGGGAGATGGACTACTACATCTTAACAAGGTGAAGAGAGATTTGGCAACAGTACAAGAAGAAAAAGAGCACTTTGAAAGATGGGAGTGGGAAAAAAGAGAATTGTATAGACGAATCCGACGAGCGTTCTGTGTAGGCTGCCATCTTGTGGCGACACCATTACTGAGCTGTTACACAGGCATAGACCTATGCACCGGTATGTAAACAAACCTCGGTGATAACGCAAACGCACCCTCGATGTCTACAAGGCAGAATGACTTGTTTGTTTGATCTGTGACTGCAGTGGCCTCCAGTCACAGATGAAGGTACAAACGATCTTACAGATTAACGTTATTTATGAAAATAGCTTGGCAAGCTAGCTAGGCTAACGTTTGCTAACGAGGAAACTATAAAAAGATCTGTCCATTTGGCAACAATAAATAAATAAATGAATGAAATCAAATAAACAAATTCATGTTTTTCATTTGTGTCCATTATTTGCAACAGGCAAGGGTAAGGTAACGTTACAGCTAGAAAGTATACATAATATCAACCAATTAGTGTTTTTAAACCATGGAAAGAGGTCGATATAACAGCAGGAGAACAATTATGTCACATAACGTTACATTTAGCTCAGGAAAGCCATTTAATGACCATAGCATGTTAATTGAATAGAAAAAATAGCAAGAGAGGAGATTTTGCTGATCACTATATCACATATTTATTATATTTTTTTTACTTATGTCATTAAATAATTGTTATTATACGCGAATGTCCACGTCTTGTTCTCGCCCAGGAAATCTGTGTAAACCGTACGGCTCCAGACAGGGGCAGTCGACCCGGTGTATTCACAGTGTTTTCTCTTCAAAATTGAAATTTTACTGCCACCATTGAAACAATTTATAACGGAAACTGTTTACCCACTCGACATTATACAAGGGGTAACGTTGTAACGTTAGTGACAGTCGTAAATCTTGGGCTGTTTATTCCAGTGGACGCAAGTTGCAACTAAAACAATAGGAGGCAATGGCGCAACGCTACCCAGCAACAGCTCAGTAATGGCGCCCGCTCACTTCCGGTAGTTTCGCCGGATTCGTCTATATGCTGATAAACTGAACTCAATCTTTCTCTTCCAGCCTCCCGGTAATTTCGTGGCTCTGGCTGACAATGAGGCTCAACCAGCGATTCCTGCGTGCCCCTCGCTACCCCCCCTGACGGCATCTGAGCTCCAGGCGGCACATGAAGCAGGTGTGGGTGACCTCATCAACCACCTGAACAACAACGCAGTGTCCGGCCTCCTCGAGTATGCCCGTGCTCGAGGCTTCGCAGCTGAAATCCGCCTTGTGGGCCAGTCCGGACTCTCACACGAGCCCAAGTACTCTTGCACTCTTACTTTGTCACATTTTATTGATCTATATGTGCTTATTACAGAAGCAGCAGGATTTTCATCTCAGTGTCTGACTTTGCACTGCTCTGGCACACAATAAAAAAAGTTCATATCACATTTTATTTCATCTCTCTTTTCTTAAAGGTTTACTTACCAGGCTAAATTGGGAGGGCGGTGGTTTCCTGCAGTGTGTGCTAGTAATAAGAAGCAGGGGAAGCAGGAGGCAGCTGACGCTGCTCTTCGAGTGCTCATCGGAGAAGCAGAGAAAGCAGCACGTACTGGAGAGCTTACGCCAGAGGTACACTCAGACACTTTAATAAAAAGTTCATAATAAAATAAGCAGTAGCTTTTAACTATGCAACAAAGTTACCATTAAATATTGAGGGGTCAATATATTTGAAAGCAGTACAAAATGAACAAAAAAAATGGTAATGGGTCTGATTATAACTATTTTGCGCACAACATTTACATGAGATAAGTGCTGGGGAATTTCCAGTAAGAGTTAAACCTGTATACTTTATTTACATGCTTTGTTTCAGGGTGTCTCCACCTCTATGTAACCCTTGTAAGATTTTTGGACGAAGCAGACTTCAGCAATGCAACAGCAATAAAGAACCCTTTTTAAAAAGATACACCCTAGTCTCCTGGTCTGCGCTTTGGAGTTTTCAAACATTTTAATGTTTGACAAATGCTGTTCTTTTGATATATTTATTCTATAGACCATTTTGCAAGATGTAAACAAAACTGGTCCAGTTTTTTTAACACTACATAAAAGCTGGGATAAAATACAACCAACAGAACATATAAAACTGAATCAAAAAGTTAAACAAACATCTTTAAGATTTTTTCTTTACATGTGAAATAAAGAAAACAGTTACAAACTGAAACAGGAAGTGTTTCTGGACCAGTGTTGTTTACATCTTGCAAAATGATCTATAGGAAACAAATTTCCTAGATTAGAGACAGTTGTACATTATTTCCCTGTACAACTGTCATTATTCAGAAGTATTTGACCAGTCAATTCTGCTCTTGACCTATCAAAATCTTAAAATGAGATATGTAATGAAATAGTTATTAAAATTGTTTTTGTATGTTTCAGTTGCCAGTATCAGGCAGTACGATGCATGATCAGATCGCCATGCTAAGCCATCAGCGCTTTAATGCACTCACAGCTCGCATCCAGCACAGCCTTCTGGGTAGGAAGATTCTTGCCACCATTGTTATGAGAAACGGATCAGATACACTTGGAACAGTTGTCAGCCTTGGGACAGGTACATAGACATAGACTTAAACACAGACAGAGCCAACATGATGTATGCACTCTAATTAGAGATATGCCATAATTGTTGTCTTACGCATGTAGGAAACCGCTGTGTTAAGGGAGAGGAGCTTAGTCTTCGAGGGGACACCGTTAATGACTGCCACGCAGAAATCATCTCCAGGAGAGGCTTTATCCGGTATCAGCTTGCAGCAGAACTTTCTCTCTCCCTCACTCTCAATCCCATGATTCATTTTTCCTCTCATTCTACAGCTTTTTCCTTCTCATTCTTCAAGATGGAGTCTTATTTCATAGCAGCTCATAAATAATATTGACTAATATATTCAGTGTACTATATATATATGTAGCTGTACATTAATACAGTTATTAATGTATTATATGTTTTTTAATTTAATAATATTTCAGTAATAAATGTAATGTAATTTTTATATAACTTATTTATGTAACTTTTTTACACAGTTAACTTTTAATCTAGAATTTAAAAAAATAAGACTAATGCACAAAAAGAACCAACTTGTAACTGTTACACTAATTCGATTTTGATCAGCCCTATTAGTGCAATAAAAAAGCAATATATTGACAAAACACCTATTTGTAAAATCTGTATGGCTCAGGTTTTTGTACGGTGAGCTGATGAAACATTGGGAAAGCCCTGGTGATGGGAGTATTTTTGAGGTGGCAGATGATGGCAAGCTGAAGATCAAATCTGACATCACCTTTCATCTCTATATTAGGTGAGACATCCACTTCCTCTCATCGAGCTGGTTTTAGAACAGAGATTTATATGGAAACATAACGCATTCCTATTTCTTTGTCTCAAAGCACTGCTCCATGTGGCGATGGTGCTCTGTTCGATAAGTCGTGCAGCGAGGCTGCTGAAGAAAATCTCTCTGGACACATGCCTCTCTTCGAGAACTTAAAACAGGGCAAGCTCAGAACCAAGGTGGAGAACGGTAAGCGACTGAAAAATAATTGTAAATAACTGCATAAATGGGGTATAAAAAAAATACACGATCTTCTGAAGGATTTGATAATTTTTTTTTCTTTCAGTGTCAACTGTCACATGCTGTCATAGTTTGTTTGAATTTCCCGATCCTAAAGTCAGCATGAAACAGCAGTTGTGATAGTCTTTTCTTCCCTATTGCAACACACATCTGAGTGTAATGGCATCTCGAACTAGAAAACATGTGGTCGTGACTTGATTTTGAACCTCATAATAATATTAAATGTTAAAATTAAAATGTTTTATAATAATAACCTTGTAATAAAAAACATGAATTTATTCAAACACACATTAAATATTGAAGGAACAGGCAAGTAAAAATGCAATGTAGTGCATGTGTTTAATGAAATGCTCCTCTTCAAGTAAATTCTTGTAGCTGACAGTAGAGCTGCACGATTCTGGCTAAAATGAGAATCACGATTTTTTGCTTGGAATAAAGATCATGGTTTTGAAAAGATTTACTATTTTAAAGATCTACAGACCCTGAACATTAGGTTACCAAACAAGACTAGTGATGTCACGATACCACTTTTTCACTTCCGATACCAATGCAGCAGCTTTGGCTATTTGACAATATCGATATCAATCCGATATTTTTTCCTTGAACTAATACTAATAAAATATATGGAAGCACTTTGCTCAATTAGCAACCTAAAAACATCTCACAACAACAGTTGATTATGAAAGACTGCCACCCTTTTATTCAAATAAAATAACTTTATTCAGTTAATTTGAGAAATGATAGAGTATTTTAAGTTGTTTCCACTGTTGAAAGGAAAAGGCAAATGTTCGCCGCCATGCCATGCATTGCGCACGCACTCCGCACAAACCCTTGCTTGCATATGCATCAAAATCTTGTGTTTACAGCCTATGGTTTATAAACTGAGGAGACGAATTGCAAAACCATTTTTTAGTACTCCGAAGGTAATGGGAGGGAGTGTGTTTAGGGGGCATGTCAGCCAGAGATGTGTGTGTGTATGAGTGAGTGAGACTTCCGCCTGCTGAACAGAGGGTCACCGAAAGAAGGATCTAAAGTGCCGGTGTTTCGGCTACAAAAACCCACCGAAACAGCCCAATTTTTTTGATCAACACACACAAACTCATTTTTGTTCGCAAAATAGATTGCAAAACCGCCCAATCTGCAGGTTGCGGCGCTTAACTGATGTCGCAGCAAGGGATTTGCTAATATTCAAGGATTGTTGGATATGGTATCGGATCTTTTTTTTTTTTCCTCTCCGATCTAGAGTTCTAGGCCAGTATCGGCACGATATCAATGCTGTGTATCGGATCGAGACGTCCCTGAACAAGACAGAATTAAAAAAGACATAGTATTCTTTGCTTCAGTCGAATTTAAACAAATGGGGTAAACAAAAAGAATGTAATAATTAATAATAATAAGAATGTAATCATTTTTATCATATGTAATTTTTTTGTGCCTAAGGGAGTTTGATTGGTATGATGTTGCGTTGAATAGAGTTGCTTTTATAGACATTTGTTTCGTCTGGCCAGTGGCCACTGGTACTTTGTGATTGAGCAGTTTTGTTTTTAACCATCTCATACTGTAGAATGTGATGACGTTTGGGGTGATTTAACAGATTGGTTGAGAAACGATGGCTAAACACTGCTTCCAATGTATGGTTTGCTGAGCATCATCATCTGGTTTGAAACCGAAAAAAGTCCTCACTTTGGTAAAAAGATCCTCTTTTCGGTACAAATGGTGCTTCATTTCACTGCATGATATGATTCGGTACAGCTCACTTTGCATATGGATGCAGTGGAAAAGCGGAAATGGCCCGGCCCGAGGATGGTGTCGGGAAATATCGTCCCGCTGGTCGGGTCAAGCTGTAGTTCATGCTAAGGAACCAAGAGTTGTCGTCCAGTCTCTTTGGTAGAGAGAGAGGAGGAAAACAAACAGGCATGCAAATGGAAATTATCGCGGCCGGAAAAATGATCTCGAGCCTAAAACGTGAAACAAGCTCTTTTTTTGTGCGATTAATTGATTTATTGACTATCACGACAGGCCTAATGGTACCACCATTCATTTTTAATAATAAATATTTAAAATAAATAAAACAATATTCCATTAAAAAAAAGAAACGTAGTGTCCATTTTGATTTCATGGTGACTTGAATTGGCCAACTGCTGCATGCACATGCTGTGGCGTAATTCCAGGACCTCAGGTACACAACTCTAGTCCGCTAAATGTCAGATTAAATAAGACGCGCTCAGCAGTGTTTGTTGTACCATCTGGTTGCAGTGATCTTGCCAAAGAGGTTCTCTATAGCCACGTGAACGTGGCCTTTTGCCAGGCAAAACAGCCATTGTCTTGTGGGACAGTAGAAAAGCAATTACGTGACATAAGCGGTTGGCAGGTAAGCGGATGTATTTCTTTTGAATTCAACTTGACAAGTCTGCACATGATGTTGCCAGTTGTGCTTGGTTAGCTGTTGTGCTGAGTCTGACCCTGACTTTTGACATGGAAGTAAAAAAAACAGCCTCATGATGTATTGTGACAGACATTTTTCTGACAGTCCTGATATAAGCCATATTATGCTTACAGATAATGCTATTTGTTTAGTTAGCTAGTTTTCTAGAGCTACCGTAGACAATGCTACATTGTCTTCTCATTTAGTCCTCCACTGTACATTCTATTTACATGTCAAGATTTCTCATGTTTTCCTTTTTCTGTTCTCATTAAACCTTACCTTTTCTCAGGTGAAGGCACCATCCCAGTGGAGTCCAGTGACATTGTGCCCACCTGGGATGGCATTCAGCATGGTGAGCGCCTGAGGACCATGAGCTGCAGTGACAAGATCCTGCGCTGGAATGTGCTCGGCCTACAGGGGGCGCTTCTTAGCCACTTCATCCACCCCGTTTATTTGCGCTCAGTCACTCTTGGTAAACACTGCTGCCATGCTTTGAGTAATGAGATATTAAAATGATCATTTATTATAAATTGTATTTTAGAATGTGTCAAAGTTAGAGCTTTTTGACTTTGGTGTGTGTGTGTGTGTGTATATATATATATATATATATATATATATATATACACATACACACACACACATTTTTTTTTTTTTTTCTCAGGGTATCTCTACAGCCATGGTCACCTGACTCGAGCTGTATGTTGCCGATTGGCTAGAGACGGTGATGCGTTCAAAAACAGTTTACCAGCAAACTTTACTCTCAACCACCCTGAGGTACACACACAACACAATGCATTTAGTACTGTGAAACTTTTGTTTTTCCTTTGATTTCATGCATTTTTTTCTGGATTGCTCTCTGCAGGTGGGCAGGGTGAGTGTGTATGACTCAGCACGCCACACAAACAAGACCAAAGAGTCCAGCGTTAACTGGAGTCACCCGGACGAGATCAGCGTTGAGGTACTGGATGGCACCAAGGGCAAAGTGGACAGGTGAGAGACGGACCCATCCATCATACATCACCATTGTAAAAAGGAGCTCCCACTTATCTAGCTAATTGAATATTTATCCAAAGCACTTCGAGACCTAGACACCTGCTTGCATTCATGATCTGTCTTTCTCTCTTTATGCCAGTACCAAGATGGAGGTATCACGGGTTTCCAAGTCCAATCTGTTCCGTCTCTTCCAAGCTTTGTGTCAGCGTGCAGGGCGAGCCGATCTGCTGGCACTGCCGTCATACGCCCACGCTAAGATGGCTGCCACTTCATTCCAGGACGCCAAGAGGCTGTTCTTCCTGGCGCTGAACCAACATGGATATGGCTCCTGGATCGGAAAGCCCTTGGAAGAAAAAAGTTTTGAGGGAGAAGCCAGAGGCATAGAGCTAAGGGGAGGAACCGCGGACATGCGGGCTCCGGGTTGCGCAGTTGACCCCAATAGCTGTTTGAGCTCAAACAACAATTTACAGTCTGCAGCACAGGGCATTTAGGGGATAGAGAGAGATGAAGAGAGAACAAATTAAGGGATGGATGGAGTGGAAGAGTGCCTGGCAGCAAGAGAGAGAGAGTTGAGGAGGTACAGAGAGGGAGGAACAGGGTAAGCCTGTGGCTTTATATTTGAACTTTAACCATCCTGACAAAGCAGTAACGGATGCTACCATGGCAACAGAGCCATAAACCCAAGGAAAATTGGACTAGATGAGACATGAAGTAGAATCTTGGCCCTTTTCTGTCTTCTTTTTTTGTGGAAAGTTTTAACTATAGGGTTTTTTCTTCCCATTTGTGACCATCTCAATACTGTTACACGACTGTGTGGCTACATAGCTGAGAGATAATTCTGTTTCTCACTCTCTCATAGTCTTTGATTCGAGTTCTACAATTAGATATTTTTCATTAAATAGAGATTTTTCATAATAGGTTTTTTTTGCTAGTCAGGGATATATTTACTGACATTCATATACACTGGTTATTTGTGAGTTTTGAAGTGTTAGTTCACTCAAAAATTTCAATTCTCATTTACTTGCCCTCAGTGTTCCAAACCTGTATGACTTTTATTTTCTTCAGTGAAAGACATCAAAAAAGAGATGTTTTGTGTTTTTCAAAAAAAAAGAAAAAAATAAATGTATAAAGGTTTGGAATGACATAAGGGTAAATGATGACAGAATTTTCATTTTTGGGTAAACTATCATTTCAAATTGCTCATCATGTACCAACTTGTCATTTACCTACTTTTTTTATCCATTTAAATGCTCAGTTTGCTTTAAATCTGCACGGAATAAACTGCTTCTGTATTTACTTTAATTTTATTTTATTGTGAAGTTCCACGTACCAACAATTGACTAGACTGCTTGAAATATATACATAATGTACATACAGATACATATGCACACAGATGTATATATAAGGTCTGTTGAACGAGTTTATACATATGCGTGTGTGTTTATGTATGTGTATATATTGTATGTATATATTTTGTAATGATTCGTAACTTTGAAATCCAATTTATTTTCTATCTTTTAATTATTGGGATGTAATTTTATATGAGATGTGTATGTTCTGTTTTGACTATCGTTGATGTGCATTGTTTGTAATACGGGCGTGGGGGGCTTGTGGTAGATAATGCATGCAGCCAAACAGTCTACATTTTGAGTGGTGAAAGGTATGGGTGAATGGCAAAAACCAATCATATACACATTTGTTTGTGTGTGTGTACCTTTGTGGATCTGAACTATTTCTTGGAATATTATTTTACCCTTTATATTGTAAGCTCAAGTCTGCATTGCTTGTTTCATGTTTTCAGACACTGTTAATTAATGCACTGCTTCGAGAGTAAAGCAATATTAACATTCTGTTTCTTCTTTCAGCAAATGTGAATCTGTATGCCTCAAACATTTGTCATCAAACCATTGAAGCCTATTCAAATTATTTTAAGACAAGTTCTGTTCTATTAAAACAGTTTAAAACCATTTTCTTTCCATGAGTTGCAGATTAATGTCTTGTGGTTTTTGCATTTCACAGTAAATGGTAAACGCGCTCTGTTTAGTACAGTACAATTGTGATGGTATGTCTATCCTCAGGAGAGGTGGATATTTAGGTCAGAGTGCTGCTATTTATCTCTAATCAAGGAGTAAATAGTTAAAACTAATATGCCTAACTATATTTCTCTGTATCTGTGTGTGTGTATATATACACCCTTAAATATTATGAAGAAATAGTAACCCATATATAAACTGTATTAAAATATTTTTATTGGACTGCAAATGAGACATCCAACCCTCAAGATTGCAACAAAACAAAAGTTTCGAGAGTACTTAACTTTGTGAGGAAAATCTTTTTTTGAATGATGCTTTTCCCTTTATATTGAGTATCCTCATATCTTATACATTTAATTAAAAAATAAGTATTTAGGCTGTGTTTATTTTCCTTGTATGCCTCTGTGGAATTGATTAGACAACTAAGCATTTCATCTACGTTCATTTAAAATATCAAGCAATTTTGTAATTAATACATTGTATGAAATGACATTTAAAAAGTGACAGCCTTGGCCTAACAATTTAATAAAAGCAAATAAATATCAAAAACTTTGTCCTAACACAGTTTCATCTAAGTTGATTCTTGCCTGGATGTATGCCAGTGACGTTTGTTTAACAGCTAGCATAAATGTAAATATAGCGTAAAATGTGACATTGAAAGTGGAATTCATACCAATTAAAAACTTCTCACAACCGAGTAGCTTACCTTTTAAACAACCGCTGGATGGCGACCTTTCCCTGTTTCGTGTAGTTCACACACAGGTGACAGGTTTTGAGAAGGATCAAACCCCTGGCGAGATTGCATTGAGAGAACATTGTGTGAAATTATTCATTTTCACCTCACTAATTTGACTGGAAGGTTTGCTGATTCTGTATGAGCATTTTTATAGGATGGGTTATGAGTAAAATACCACCAGCTGCGGTAGTGAAATTTATTGATAATTTCACACTTTATTAAAAAGAGCACGTGGAGTATCTATATTAACCTGAGCTTAATAACTCGCACTGACAGCCAGTCCACATCAAGCGTTCGTACACAGTGTCTACGACGATGTAAACGGGGTCACACTCCAACTAAAAAAGTCATTATCTGGGCTACTCCGGGTCCGCGCGGCTATTTCGACGGATATGTCAAACAAGTAATGGTTGTTAAGTAGTGACGTAATCACGCTCTGATAATACTGTTTCCGGGTCCAAATGCTGGGTCCTCTCTATCTGCTTACCGCTTTTGCCCGAGTTTTAACATGCCGCAGTGCTGTGTCCCATGTTGTTTAAATAGATCGGAGTTAAAAAAAACAAGTGACATTCAACTGTCATTCTACCGCTTTCCCTGTGACGAGAAAGAAAAGAGAAAATGGCTGCAGTTGATAAGGTAAGTTACAATTATTTCCTTTATCCCTAACACCCACTGGCGCTGAAGCGAAGCCAGTCCTTTAAGAAAAGGGCTTAGTCTAACGTTATGGGTTGTAACGTTAATTAGATATGGACGAGCGGAGCGCTTGGACCCGGAAGAGGCTAAACGTCACGCGTGACGTCAGACTTAACAACCGAGGTGATCGATGCCCGTGACTGAAAAGAATGAATAAGAAGACGGAATCAGGGCGAAGATGAAGTGTGGGTAGCTGGAAAGCCCCAGGTGAAAACAACAGGGAAAACTGAGCTTGGTTAATGAGTAAAGTTAAGGTCGCTAAACGCTAGCATTGTGTGTTTATGGGTGTAGATGTCCGTACTCGAGGCATGATGTATCGCAACAGCTGACACTGTTTTGAGCCCTAAAACGAAATAGACTGCTCAAACATTGCTGGACGTCTCACAGCATGAAAAACACACACGGTCCTTCCTTCCACCAGCTGAGTCAGTAGAATCAAAGTTGTTCTGCAGGCCTGCATAGGCTAGAATGACAAATGCGCTAATGTACTGTTAAGTGTGTGTGTGTGTGTGTGTGAGAGAGAGAGAGAGAGAGAGAGAGAGAGAGAGAGAGAGAGAGAGAGAGAGAGAGAGAGAGAGAGAGAGAGAGAGAGAGGGAGAGAGGAATCAACCTCTGAGGGCTTTCCCTTCTAACTTCCACCTACACACCAACTGTGGCAGCACAAGTGTTATTACTGTATTTAGAAATCTGTGCATATCTGGGGCTTACTGAGGTTGTGCTGCTATATGCACTGCATGCCAAATATATGTAGTTTCTTTCATAAATGAATCCATTTTATATTGAACCACTAACCTTCCCTCAAAGGGCATCATTTGGGTATCACAAAACCATGTAGGCTAGGCTACTGAAAGATTTGATGGTTAGGCTACACATCACAAGATAACAGTAGTCAGTGATTGTTTTATGTAAACGTGACAGGACTGAACAAAAACATGTGGACAGTTGTAAAATTGTATTTATTTGAGGAATATTTATATATTTCTTTTCTTCTTTTTTTTGATCAATTGATGTGAAAGGTTTTAGTGTTTTAAAGTGATTTAATAAAGAAAAATATATCTGAGAACCTAATGAATGAGATATTCAGAACAGAAATCAACCATCAGCCAGTTTTAGAAATTTTTGGATGAAACATTTTATTCACTGTAACAATTCAAGGACAGCTAGAATGCCCCATATATTGAGCAATATTTAAAGCATTGCTCTTTGTTAATTGTAATAAATATATGCCACCTTATCATGTTCATGTAAATTCTAAACTTACACTTTGATAGTTCAAAGTCAAAATGCCGTGCCATTGTTAACAGCATGCTCTAAAACTACATTTATTATCCTTTTTTCATGAATACATGCAAGTAGCCTATTGTTAATTGTTGATAGCCTACTTAATGTTAATGAAATAAATCTTATAATTAACTAATTTTGTGACAGTGAAAAGAAGGTGAGTGAAGAGGCTGATGAATAGAGGTTGAAAAGGTTGAAAGCAGAGGAGCACTGAAATGGGGAAAGTGGGGAATGAAAAGGTGAGGGATGATGGACTGGTATTTAGGTAGTAATCTGTTTATAGAAAGCGAACCCTGACCGCATCACCTTTAGTTTAGGGAATTTTCCAGGGGCTGCAGAGGGTATGTCTCACATAGACGGCAGGGAGAGAACAAAGTATGTTCTCACCACACGCCAAACAACAGCTGGCAGTGTTCAAATTGTGGTAAGGGTTATGGTGGAGTCCCTTATTATAGAATTGAAACGTGATTTTCATTGCTGTTATTACTGGTGAGAGGTTGAAAATCCTGATAGATATTTTCTGCCTAACAATATTTATTGACGTTAGCTCATTTATTGCAGTGAAAGTACATCAGAATGTAAGCCTACATTCAATCAGAACGTCTGCAATATTTAATTAGAGTGAGGAATAACAGTCAGCTCGTGTTTGCAATAGATGCTAATTTGAGAAACAAAATGCTGTCATCTGCTTTTTGTGAATCATATGCAGGGTGGCAAAGGTTACAAAAATGATTTGTTATTGATCTGATTTTAAATATTTGGGGATGAGTATTCATTAGTAACATTGGTCAACAATTCTTCAGAAGATAAAATGTGCTATTTATTATGTATTTTGATGTGATGAATTCTAATATGATCATCAAACAACTGATTGGCTACTGCTTCAAAAATATTTAAGTTTTTACATTTTACCTCTATGTAGATTTTATACAGGTTTAGACTTAACCCTTGTTAGTTGTTCATATTTTTGTTTTGTTTATTTTTTTTTTACTAAAATTACATAAAAAAATAACATCAATTATAATCAAGATATGAGTGGAAAAATTCAACAAATTTACAAATGAAACCTACCAATCACAGAAAATGCTGGCAATTTTGACAAAAAACACCATTTAGTAGGTTTTTTAAGCCGTTTGTTTTATAAGGAGACAGATGTTCTCATAAACCATGTTTATGTTGTAATACCCATTATACACACTTGAAGAGTTCAGATGCAAAAGCCTCTAAGTGCCATTTGAAATTTTCTTCTAGAATGATCATTTTTATCAAACTTGTATATTTAAGTTCAGTGATTTCACTTAAATGGCAATGATAATTACCTATTAATTGTTATTTAAGTGAAATTACTGAACTTCAATATACAATTTTGATGAAAATCATCATTAAAGAAGAAAATTTCAAATGGCATTTAGAGGCTTTTGTATCTGAACTCTTCACTTGTGTCCTCATAAACCACATAAAAGAACACACGCACACACAATAACAGCAGGCCCGGACAGAGTGAAGGTACACTGAGCCTAAAATTTTCACCACACTGCAAAGCTTATTATTTATTGTGTCCCATGCCCAATTCACAGCTGGGATAGAGTATGAGAAAAGAAAGATTGGTTCCCGTAAGACAGTGGGTAAAATGTGCGGGAATGCACGGTGGCCGTGCTTGAATTTTGCAACAATGTTGTGACCTTGTGTGGGAACGCCAGGTGTAGAAACACAAAACTCGCATGCGCGTACAGTGTCTTTTCATTGAAAATGTGTTCTGATATATATTCTTCACAGAAAATGAGCCAAGGCCAATGAGTCCGAGTTTGAAAAAAAATATTTAATCGTATCATTTTTCTTTTGATATAAAATGAAAACGGGTCCAACAGACCTGAACACAAGGGTTCAAATCTGCAGGGCTGTGGTCCAGTTTTGCCCCCCTTGTGTATGATTTCTAGAGCTGATAGGCAATTTCTTCAGCTGAGTGATGTAAGTTTCACAAAAACAAGATGCAATTAGCATGCATAACAGCTTCAGATTCTTTGCTTACTATTGTTTTCCTTTATTTATTTATTTATTATTATTATTATTATTTTTTTTTATGTATTTGGTTAAAGGTTTATGCTTGTAAGTATGTATGTTCTGTTCTTGCAAGTCCACTTTGTATCAATGGATAATATGGGCGTCATTCTCCATATTGGATGGTGAGGGGTGAGGGACAGAGAATGTATTGTTAAAATCAATAA